TTATCATTCAAAATGACATTTTAGACTTATCAAATGGCGTTGTCCTTCGCAGCCGATCATCCGTGTGAAGTATTCCTACCGCAGAATTTCTACAAATACTTCAACATTCTGTTCGGTGTCTTTCTAGAGCTCTATCTCTTTGTTCAGTCGGCCATGGCTTTTGAGAGAGCGATCGCTACCATCTACGTGTGCTCGTACGAGTACATGAAAGTGTATCCGGCAATCATCGCAGCAATATCAGCGGTAAATATTCCATTGATTGAGAACTATGTACGACAATAATTAATGGGATAGGGTAATGATTAGGTTGATTGAAGAAAGTTACATAATAAATGCCTATTACGAAGTAGAATTCGGTGCTCTAGCAGAGGATATGTACCGTGTTTTGCAAAAGGGCACTTGGAGCGAATCGACAGAGCTCCGCCCACATGTCCTTCCCGGCCGCCGGCCTCTATCCGTCTGCGCTCTAGCCCCCTTGAATTTTGGTAACATGGAATTTCCAGGGCCGGCGTCCCAGCAATGGGGCTTTGTTGAAATTGGTTTTGCCGAAATAGTTGTTTCGTTATAGTCGTGCGTATTGTAAAGACAGGACTGGGGCTTTAAGTAAAGAATACGTGACAATTTGGCAGCGAAGCGTGCGCCTGTAGAGACGTAATAGGACTTAACAGGTCCCGTCAGACGCCTCATTACCCTTGATTTACCCGACAGGAAGCCCGTCGCGCGGCGAGAGGCAGAGACGCAGACGGCTCGCAGCGCGAGCTTGCGTACTGTAGCGATTTCGCGTCAGGTCAAATACGATATTTTGTAATACACCCCACATTGCAAAATATTTGATCGCCGCGCGACGGGCCTCCTATCGGGTACCCATTACCTTGCTAGCCTCCCGTAACTGTGCTGGCCCATAGCGGTCACGAACTCTGAACATTTTAGCAGAGACGGAACATACGTTCACGTTGACGACTATAGTGTCGTTGTGACTCTAGCACGGAGAGCAACTGGGGACACAGGGGTCCCACCTTATGGATCTGAGCCGCTTCCCTTTTTTTGGTACGGCACTAGCGGCATCGAACTTGTTGCTGTACCTGCCTTCAAGTCTCAATTAAGAGCTCCCTTTGCATTTTTTGAGGAAAGTTTCTCTTCTAGTTTGGCAGGCATGAAAACAAGCCGTCACGCGATATCACAGGGTACCCGACAAGAAGCCCGTCGCGCCGAAAAAGCCAGAGCGTACGAGGTCGCAGCGCGTACTTGCATATGATTCGCCCCAAGTAAATTAGAAGTGCCACCACTACCCGCCGGCTCCACCTTCCTTGCCGGCCGGGGGGCCTCCTGTCGGGTGGCGCCGCCGCCATTACTCATCCTTTGCAAAGGCCCTCAAACTAGTGAACAGAACCAAGGCGGATAAAGTCAAAGCCAAGTCGGTGTGAAAATTTGAAAAGTTGCAGTTCTGCTTTTCAGATATTGATCGCATTGGGTAGTCAAGTGTTTTTGTACAACGGCAAAAAGTTCACACAACCACAACTAAGTGTACTAAATCCACCGGCTGAGGTCTACGATAGGATAAACGGTCTTCTAATATTCAACGAGGTCACCTGTGGACTCACCACTGCATCAATGATTGTACTAGTGATTGTGAATATGAAGCGAGAGAAAAGGTAAGTGGTACCACTTCTGAGCCTTTCAAAGGCATATTCCGTGATTGAAAAAGTGTAGAATATTGTGCTCGAAAATGAATGTAAATTTGGTAACTGGTCCATTAATAACGACTGAAAACAAATGAAAAACTGAGCGCTATCGCAATATACGGGGGCATACCCTAGGAATGATCCTAGCAAAAGGCAGGCATGACAAAAGCCCTAGGAAGGGGCAGGCATGACAACAAGCCGTCACGCGATATCACAGGGTACCCGACAGGAGGGAACTCTGGAACAAATGAAGATGGCTCACACACCCTCGAGTTTTTCCTCCCACGCTAAGGCTTAGTCCAAAAATGAAGAACTTTCACGCGGTTCATAATGAATGCCACCACAATGGCCCCATATCTAGCGCCAAAAACTGTTATGAATGGTCAAATCGCACTGCACCCTCATCCTATAGGCGTAGTTTGCGCCACTCCGCGCGGTAATAGGCGGCAGGGTTTGCGCCACGCCGTGCGGTCGTATATTGGATTGTCTTCGTACGTGAATAGGAAAAAGATGGTGAAGTAATGGTAAAACTAGCAAATGAGAAGTTTGTAGGGGCGGAGCGCAAACCCCGCCCACACGGTCAGCGCACAGTGCGTTTTTGGGGCGCTTATGTTCCTATTCGCCTTTCTCTATGGCGGGTGGATTAATTACCACAAATATTTTCATTTTCGGACATCAAAACAATTATACACAATCGCGGCATGTGCCTTTCCGAAGAAATCCCTATTATTTATCTTTTAAGGGCCATCGGCGACTTATCACGACGATTCCAGACCGAGGAGAACATTGACACCACGAAATTTATCGCCAAAATATCATTGATTCAGACATTTTCCTACACATCACAGTCACTTGGTAGTTTGATGTTGAGGCTTGTCGAGAAATCCATTCTTAGCACCCAAACGCTACCGATAAGGACAACACTGAAGTTGGCCATCTATGTGAGTCACAAAATTTGGTTTAAAAATCGAGAATCCCAAGGCAGAGCTTACACCGGTGTCTTGGGTGGCTTTCATACTTTGCGCTACTGGGGATGTGCGCAATGCGTGGAATGTGCGAGCGCCTATATACAGGCCCAATTTATGGCCTTCAATGTGATTCAGTTTTCCTACTTGGGTGGTCACGTAAAATTAAGACCACTCATTTGCTTGGAGCAAGATTAGGTCTAAGCCTCGTCCCAGACATAGGCTTTAGTATTAGCCATTGTGTGAGCATACTTCTAAGGCTAGGTCTGAACAAGCATGACCTTAGGCTTAAACGATCCCGCAGCTCTGGTGAAGTGACCTAGAGGAGAACTGAACGTCGCCCCCTACAAATCACGGTAACAAGGCCCGCCGCATGCCATTTGCGAAATTGAACTGGGATAATTTCGACTGTGGGTTTTGATACATCAAAAAGCCTTTGAAGATAAAGGCTCATGAGCGCAGAATGTCCTAATTTGACTGCCCGTCTTGGAACTCACCGCTTCGGTTTCTTACTACCTTCTACGATCTTCCTGAGTCTCGGAGATCTCATCCACTCATCAGTCGTACAATGTCTTCAAAAGTACGGGTCGCCCATTCTTTTTTTTTGTTTTTTTATTTTTTTTTTTTTTATTTTTTTACCGAATTTTTTTTTCTTTTTAGAAACTCAGAACAACCCTGTGATTGCGCCTTGACCACTGCGACTGTCTGCTCCCTCGCATACAACACGCTCTCTTACGTATTCCCTCTCCTCGCCGCGCAGTGTTTCTCCGTGTCCCAAGAACAACCTCACTAGAAAAGAAGATAATCAATTTTCAAACGGAATAGCACAACAAGATCATGAACCTTGCCTTGGAAGGATTTTGTCCTGTAATCTTCTTTATTGACGGAGCAATTTCTACACCTACTTTTATTTAATAGCGCAATGACCCTCACCCGGGTGTCGCAAAATAAGCCTTTCTGTCTCTTTCTGTTCTCCAGAGCACTCAAAAGAATCCCATAGAACTCTAGTCTACTTTCCTGAGCACTCAAAAGGATTCCCTAAAACAGGAACCATCCAAACAATGCAACTTTACTGAAAATCTTTTTTTTTCAGGGGATGCCCTTATATACGTTGGTCATGTCGATCGTAATCGAGTGCAGTACTCGAACCTCAGCCTCGTATCGTCGAAATCGATTCAAATCAGTTGTGATTGTGAAAAATCAGGGACATACCTACGCGAATTTCCTATCAAAACAATGGCATATGGATGGATCGGATTTTCGCTGATGATCGTCGGCTTACGGGCAGTACGAAATTCTATTTGACAAACCTGTAAAGCACTTATACATTGGAACAAGATTTGCTCTACAAATAGTTAATGAAATGTTCTATTATTTCCGGTCTTATTTCACATTATTTGCTCTTGGCCCTCTTCCAGTAAGGCAGTAAGGGGGGAGGCATCTGGCATATCGACTTATGCCGCCTAATGTAATATAATTCTAATTCACAATTGAAGATAACTCTGGGTGTGCGTAGAAAAGTAATAAAAGTGAAATAGTTAAAATCAAGCGCATCTACTTCTGCGGAACTAAGGTAAGGTAGGTGTCAGACTGACAGATCGCTAGTATATCGCGCGATTCGAACAATTTGTACGCCTGCTCGTACCCCTAGCTAGCGATTGGTCGCAGTCTGGAGTACCCGACAGGAGGCCTGTCGCGTTGCAAGAATGCAGACGCAGACGGTTCAGAGGAAGCGTCGCAGCGCGTACTGTAACGACTTAGCATCAAGTTAAAGGCAAACCCCGGGATCAGGAAGGATACCGCGAGGGAAATGTAAGGTCCGTACCTACCTAGATCACTCCAGCTTCGTCGCAAAAATTGCGTTAGGGCGCTAATCCTTACGGGCCTGCAACCATCGACCCCGTTGCAACGCTTCCCACCCACCGCGAGAGATGGTGAGATCAGCGTGCTCTCTCGAACGACGTGATCTCTCGCGTGTTTTGTCTTCTTTGATCGCCCTGTCCTCGCCATCGTTCCA